TTTCTAGTTTAATCACTTATTTTCTAGTCTAAATTGCCTTGTAATTTATTTAATTTGATGGTTATTTAATTATTATTTATGAGTTTGTTTTTCTTTTTTTATAATTTTTGAATCTTTGAATTGTTTGATATCTTGTGTTTCATTTACAACATAAGCTTAATTCATTATTTTATTTTACTTTCATTTACTAGAGAGTTCAGTTAAATCGTTTTTAAATCAAGGATGGGCATAGAGTTAGGATGAAAATTTGTGACCATTTTTTAACTAGAATATAAATTATTTTATTTATTAAACAACATTTAAATTTAACAGCTATTTCAAGGGCTCAGCATCACATTGTTATAACTTTGTCTTGAATGTGTGTGTATACCCGCCGACGGTTGCCGATATAGGCGAGTCCTCCAGAAGAGTCTTAAGTCATTTATATTTTTGAGGATAGTTCAAAATACAGAAAGATGCCCCACTTCCAGAAGCTTATCATGCCAAATGTTAAATCACTCATGCATGGGACCTCGATTTAAAGTCATATCTGACAGACTGATTAGTAATTTAAGCTGGACAGCCCGTGTATAGAACCCACAATGTCTAAGATTACAAGTCTTTGAGCTATGCTGGTGGGCTTGTCTTGAAAATGTGGTTTCATGTTCTGGTAGTCAAGGTGACCAACTTTGAAATCACTTTCCCCGTCATGGCTGTAGACAAGAACTATAAATTCTTTTATGTGAGAAAGCTTACAAGCTACCTGATATGGAAGGTTGGTGGTTCCTGTTAGATATCCACTAGTGTAGTAGGACACACAAGATATTGCCAATAAAGCTGAAACAGGGTTATTATTGTAATCTTAACACAGTGTTTGGTTGGTAGGAAGACCTCAGGTGCTGCTCCCTGCATTATTTCAGGTATGATCAGGCACCGGAGTAGTACCATCAGATAGCTGGGTAGTTTCCTCACATGAAAGCATTTACTACCTGGAGGGACTTAAAGCAGCACGCCTCCATATTCATGCTAATTTTCATGAAAATTTTAAAAATGTATTTGAATGTGTAATAATGTGAAATAATAAAAAAGCAATAAACACATTATCAATTGCACTTCCAACCCATGTTAATTACCAAAAAAGTGGTTAAAATATGCATAAATAGCCCTTACTACGTTAGTAACGCAGTAGAAATATAGTTGTTAATAATATAATAATCAGTCATTAATCGCACATAACATGTAAAATATTACTCGAATCTTGAATAATTTTACTTTTCCTAAAATCTTAGTACATATTTCTCAAGTTTGATGTTATTGAAATAGTTTGACTCATCTGGAGGCATGCAGCTTTGTAGTGCAAGTGGTAACAGGTTTGAAGTTAACTACCTTAACCATTCAGCCACAGAGTGTAGATGTGTTTATAGCAGTGTGCATCGAGATACATATGCTTAAATTAAAATTATATTTTTAAGATTAGCAAAAGTGTTTTAAAAAAGTAGAAAAATTGCAAAATGTACACCTACAGTGATAACAGTTAGCCTAAGGCACCAACTAGTATTCTGTAGGTATTTCCGCTTATGTGTTAAAATTATGCTTAAAAAGCATTTTTGACATTAACTGTATAGTAATTTGATGTATTTTTTAAAACTCAGAATATATTTTTCATAAGATACTGTGTATGTTGGATGAACATTTCCTTGCACATTGTAGCTTTAGATTTATTTGTGAACACAACGTTACACAAGATGTTGTTGAACAATTTTTTATACATTACATGATAAATTTATCGAGTATAGACTAGTTTACTAGAAAATCGGTGAGGCTTTATTTGGCCACATAACATATGAATATTAATGAATGTTAAACTGTATGAATATAAATGAAGTATTTCTGTAAACAGCCTTTAACAGGTGTTGTTTTGTTAGAAAATACTCGCTGATAAAACATATTTAATGTATTTTTCTATGCTAGAAAGGTTTTGTTAGTGTATTGAATTGCCACAGTGGTTTTAAATTAATGTAGGGGACTGGAAACGGGGATGAAATTCTGGTTCCTTGCTTACAAATGTAAGTATTCTATTTCTTGAAACTGAGCAGATCCATTTGTATTTTATTTTGCATGAACATTTTACCTTCAAGGTACATGGGCTTAATGATAAGATTGGTTATTTTCTTTGTTATCATTTTTATTTAATTGTTGTTTTTTGTTGTTGATGTTGTTGTTTTAAATGCATTTGTAGCAGGGATGAAAGTGTTTGCATGATTGATTTTGAGGTACATTTTTTTAGGTTTTCTGTCAAGGGGATTGCATGTCAGTATGGAGTATTATTATAATTACTGTTATATCAAGAAATAGGGAACCATTTTGCAATCAACTCTATCCTAAGTAAACTACCATGAAGATGTCTGTAGGTTAAATTTATCAGGCTTCAGCTTTCAGGGAACCATTGTCCGAACCATTTAAGATTTTTTTGGATAGATTTTAGTTCTGCCAGAATCTAAATGATATTTTTGTCTTTGTCAGTATGACATCATGTTTGGTCAGGCCAGAAAGCCAACTCAAAAAATACAAGTGGGAATCTCTTGCTGTGCATTTAAGTTTAAATTGATATGTAAAAAAACTTTGAAGATTTCAGGATAATACCATGACAAAGGTTTCCATAATAACTGGAATTTAATTAGTAAAGTTTATTTATTCAATGTTGATTAGTGTTACCAAAGAAATATCATTAACATTTAAATGATTTAATATTGATAAATCTTGATTTACATATTATCTCCGGCATCTAAATTATACTTGCTTTTTTATTAAGATGTGATCAAAACAAAATTATCAAGAGATTGAATCAGGGGAAGTTACTGCTACATAAAGTATTTAAATATTTACCAATTTGTTTCCCTTTATTTAAGGTATAAATAAGATGATTAAATCATGTTTATTATGTCCAATAATTAAGGCTGTACCTGATGGAATGAATGACACGAAATATTAATTAAAATGGAAATGTATGCAAAAATGTTGGACTGACAGTCCAAAACAGATTGTATGACCTACTGATGTTGCTATTAAGGTTTTAGCATTCAAGAATCCAAATCCATTCCTGTCCTCTAAAATTACCCAAAAAATGGCAATAGCTCATCTAGATAACAAGAAAAAAGGCTAGAATTATCAAGCTGACTTAAAAGCAGGAGAACAACTGTTACCAGTTTTGACATCAGTTTGTGGTAATCCCCTACACTTCATTGTATTGTTATGCTTAAACTTACAACATTAAAGCTGCTCATGGTCAATATAATGTGTACATTTTTTGTTATGAAAGTGAAATATCAAGCTTTATTATGATAATCCATCTGTCAATAGTGCATACATTATTAGGCCAACATAACCATTCTGAAGGAAGGTTCATAGACCCTATAAGGTACAATATTGTAAATGTAATGTTTTTCAGTAATTTTGGAACTTGACAGTCATTTGGAGATAGATATGATGTTGTGCTCAAAATTGTTAATTAACTTGACTTGAGTAGTTCAAAGTATGGAGGCATTGTCCTTTTATATTGATAAAAACAGCTCATTGAAGTTACAGTAAAGAACCTTTGACACAATTGCTTCAGTTGTAAATTTTTGACCCAATAATTAAGGAAAATTGGGTGTTGTTTTCAAATTTGGAATAAGACCCTATATAACTGCTAAATCATTCTAGCACTTGGCGAAAATTATCTAGCTTACAAATAAAATGGATGTATTAGTTGTGGAAGAAGTACAAACATGCCATAACTAGAATTAAACTAAAATGAAGTAATATTGTTTTCAGAGATTTGACTGATACATCTTTTCAAGGAGAGAAACTAAATGGGGATAGAATTTATTGTGGTGACTATATAAGTTCCCTCTATATGTTGTAATCTTTGTGAAGCAGTTGTTGTTATGCTATCTTCATTGTACAGTTGAAATCTTTTCTCGTATTTTGACAGCAGCTCTATGTATGATGACTATAATTATTTCTTATTATAGAGAATGACTTTGCTCACTGGTGTTTTGTGAATGGGTTTTATTTTGTCGTTTTATTCCTTTCTTTTTTGTTATTTTATTGTTTTGATATAATTATTTTGTTTGAGTATTTTGTTGCATATTCAGTTGTGTTTTATTATTTTCTTTATTTACGTATTTTCAGTCATTTTCTCCTTTGTATACCTTTGTTTACTTTAACTTTTCGGTATTTGTTATACGAAGTATATACATGAACACAACAAGTGATCTTATATTGAAGGATACTATAGATAGATGTCTGATATATGTCTAGTCTTCCATCATCACTATATATTTAACAAAACAAGAAGTAAAGGATGACAAAATACTTCAGGCAGTTTATTTTCTAATGATTGTATTTCAGCAATTTGAGCAATATTAATGTTAATTTTCTTCTCCCAGTAAATTTGGAAAGTATCTGAACATTGCATGACTGTGTGAACATACAAGTATATTCCAACAAAAATATAGAATTCTTTACTCAGTAATAGTTTTGAAAATGAGGATAATGTAATAATTTCATATTAGTAAAAAATTTACCTATGTGTGTTGCCATGGTAAACTATAATATATTAAATCAAGTTATTTTTAACTGCAATATCTTGAGTGAAAAAAAATTCTAATTTTAGAAAACAACCTGGAATCGAAGATATCAACCGTGTCTTAATTTATATACATGTATTTGTGATATAAGCCATGACATAGGAGTGGTATAAAGCCATTTAATAAAAACAATATTATACTTGTATTATAACAATGAAATATGGTGTCATTACACAAATCAAAGCTTTAAAACAGGCTTACGTTAGACATGTCAGTCGAAGAATAACATTTTATGGTGTATATTTAATAAACATTAAACATTTTATTCATTTCTTTGACACCTAATTACACATATTATACGCCTGGTTTCTTTATTTACCATTTATTTCCGCATATTATGTTATTGTTTTATTTGTTCCTTATTTTCATGCCGATGTTGTTTTGTTGCAGATGCCGCAGGGAATGGAGGGCCTCTATGTCTGGCGCTGCGCAAACCGGCATCGGCACAGAAATTGGGGGAAATAGAGCAATATGCCTTAAACAGCGAGACCAATACTGATTATGACCCTAAGTCAAGCAGACAATTCACGCAATCAAACTGGCGAAGTCGTTCTGAGCCTACAAAGAAACAGGATGCCATTGTTCGTGTTAAACAAGAACCAATGTCTGTTCAGGTCAATGCACAAACAGGAAATGCGTATGACGCTGGGATTTCAGCACAAGTTACCATGGAAACAGGAGATGAGAAGTCATATGATGACAACTCGATGGATGTTAACGATCCTCTAGGTTATAATTACGTGTTGAATAGTCTTGAACCTGACGGGCAACGAGCTAATGGTCTTCCATCAAGTCCAATGCAAGTGCCAGTACAATACCCGAAATCCAACCAGTACACAATATCATCAGATGAAGATGGGGCCCAGGACCTCACTGTTTTTACTCCAGATCAACCTCATAATTTATCAACCTCTAAACCTCAGTTACAAGTTGCCAGTTCCAAAGGACAGGACAATCTTGTTAAATACGATAGCAATGCTAATGCTGTACCAATTTCCCTATATTCGAATGAACAGTTCATCTCTCCAAAGCCTATAGCAATACCTCAAAATTTGATCTTTCATGATCAGCAATCATCTGGAAACCTCTTAGGACAACCACCTGTTCTTCAATTTGCTCAAAATAATCAAGGCACTTCATCAGCTCCGATGGTAACAGGTAGTGGGAAACAACGTGGAAATCCACCACCATTATTTGTTGCTGGTATGCCTCGCCTTCAGCTGGTCAATGTACGTGGACCATCCCCTCAAACCTCGGCATTCATGATTGGACCAGGGGGACAAACATTGAAGTTTCATGATCACACTCCTCCACATATGTTAGCCGCACCTGGAGGCATGCTTGTTTCACCTCAGGACACAGGGCCTCAACAGACAGAGGTATCAAGTCCAACCAGTGGTGGACACAGTAGTGATGGTATGTCACCACAATCATCCAAAAAGAAAAGGAAAAGGTTAGATGACACAACAGTCTTCCGAGATCCACAAGAAGCTTCACTGCCATTCAACGGGCCAAACAAGTACCGTTTCTATTGTGACGTATGTGACACGGGGTTCACAAGAAAATATACATTTAATCGACACAAATGTAAAGGAAGAGTAGAGAAGCATTATTGTCAACTCTGCGATAAGGCTTACCTCTCTAAATACAAATTGAAGGACCATATTCTTGTCAAGCACGAGGGTCAGACTGTGAGCTGTCCAGAATGCGGCAAACGGTTTTCATCACGCTCATCTATGGAGATGCATAAGAAGCAACAGCACGAGGGCCAGTACAGTATCTTCTGCAAAGTATGTGGTAAAGGGTTTAACCACACAGGGCATTATTACGGGCACATGAATAAGCACACTAATACCAAACCATTCTGGTGTCAGCAGTGCGGAAAGCGATTTTATGGCTCATCCTATCTTCATAATCACAAGCAGGTTTGCCGAGGAAACAACGACCTCAACTATTCTTGCTCTGTATGTGATCGTAAATTCAAGTGCGAGCTTTACCTGAAGAAACATATGAAGATTCATGACAACACACCCATTATATCTAATCCAAATGTAGCTAAAGTTAAAGACGAAGATCTCAAGATGGCAGGTGTAGCAGTGGCCAACCCTTCTGCCCTGAATGGTGCAGTTTTTCCTGAAGCTGGTCAACCAGTCTTTCCAGATGGGCAAGATGTTTCAGATTCTAATTCAAACTCAAATATCTCAGGGGCTCTACTGATTGACGAGGGAAATATTGCTGAGGGCTCGGAGTCTTTTAGTAATGAAGCAGCTTCCGTAGGTGCTAAGCAGGCTATGGTGGCTTGAGAAAAAAAGTTGCTTTGTATGAATGAAAATTTTCACAATGTAACTTTTTCAGTTTGATTTTCATTTTGTGGTGTAGGAATATTTTTTTTTTTTTGCTTTTTTTTTGTGTTTTTTTTTTAAATCTTTTTTTCCCCTCTCTTTGTTCTGACAATTGACTTACAGCAAAAAGTGTTTTTAAGTGATTCATTCACATTTTTAAGATGCTGAAAATTGAAAACAAGTAGTAGTGTTGGAGTGACAAATGGTATAAAACCAGTTGACATAAGAATATAGAATGATGTTATAACAGACTGTTATTAATATCCCCTAGAAGTGAGAAAATTGACTGTGATGAATTTATAATGGGGAAAATATAGGATATTCCTCTGGCATTATTACCAGCAGTTGCTTACTGTAACAAATGCAATTTATCAGTAAGTCATTTTACTGTGACAAATTGACAAGACTAGTTCAAACACTGTCAGGAAGTGGCTGTAAATTATACTAAATGACTATGATAATCTTAGATGGGTAAAAATCCAGCTTTAAAATTTGATTGTTGTAATTAAGCATTTGATGGCGGCATTCTTCACTTTGTGAGACTTGGAATGAGGATCTTTAGAAGAAGAGGGCATTAGGAAGATTTTCATTTTGTCTAATCTTTTCTTTAATTCCTTTTTTTTGTTTAGAAATTTAGTTCATTATTACATTTTGATGTATGTATATCTACTAGTATGTATTGAGCTTTACTATCTTTTTTTGTTTGTTTCCCTTTCTCTATGCAATTTCATTTCAATTTTAATGTTAATGTTGTGTTAATGAAAATATATATATTCAATGTAAATGATAAGACAGATGAAAATTTATTGACTTAGGTTTGTGAAGTTTTACCATGCAAAGCTTTGCTCTTATTCGCGATTTTGTTCATGTTTTAATGAGTGCCTGATTTGTTAACAAAATTTGTATGTGATACAAATTTGAGCCGTGCCATGACAAAACCAACATAGTGTGTTTGCAACCAGCATGGATCCAGACCATCTGCGCAGTCTGATCAGGATCCATGCTGTTCACTATCAGTTTCTCTACTTGTTATAGGGTTGGTAAGCGAACAGTATGGTTCCTGATCAGACTGGGTGGATGGTCTGGATCCATGCTGGTCGCAAAAGCACTATGTTGGTTTTGTCATGACGCGGCTCATTTATTATATAATCAATTATAGTAACATGGTACAGTGTATTTTGATTTTCAAAATTGTCTGCACAGTGCATTTGAATATGTTACTATAAATAGCTTAGTTAATTGGTAATCTGTCAGTAGTATACCAAAGATTCTCAAAAAGTTAAAACTTTAGTTTTTGCTTTAACTAAAAACTTTAAAGTTGTGAAGTGATTTCTGTAATGTTAGCTTTAAACTTGTGAGATATCACAGTAAAATGTTTATTCTTATTGACTTCACTCATTCATGTGATTTAGAAAAGTCAGTATATAAAGTTTATATTTTTTCTAAAATTATCAATTTGGGAAGAATTTTATTCTTTTTGGATAACATTGTGAAGACCACAGTGTTATTGGCTTGAACACTTAAGTATATGTGATGGCTTAAAGCAAAAGGTTAATGAGTCCTTCTCCATTTTTCATGTGTGTCTTGCTTGGAAGTTGTTAAGTTCTTGTGGAGACTGAAACATTATTTAGGAAATATAGTAAGGTCTGTGTCATCAGCTTAATCTGGAATTTACGCAAGCACGAAAAAAAAAACTGACTTGATTTTAATCTCACAACATTTATTGATGATGTTACAATTTTAAAACACTATTTTAACTTGTAAAACACCATGGAGAAAGTTTTTAAAGATTCAATGTTATTGTACTTGGACTGTAAGCACTTTATTATTGTATATATATATGTAGATTTTTGCTGTTTTATAATTTGACTTCATCTGCTAACAATGTTGCATTTGGAGTTATTGTGATCTCTCCTTGTCCATTGAATGTCCCCATGTCCTTGAAGTTGAAACATGCAGATATAGTCCTGATAAATAAATGTTGAAGGTGTTTATAATTACTGTCTGTGAATCATTCCTATAATACAGATTGAAACATTTTGGTTACTTTGGTTACAGTGAAAAAAAAATCATAAGAAATAATGATAAGTTAAATTAAAATTAAAAAATTTAATTTATCATGATTCAAAGAGTATGGAAATGTTGACTTAAATACTGACTGATCTCTTAATGTAAAAAAGCAAAAATTCCCCCAAAACGAGATATAACTCAGGTGAGCAGCTTAGAGCCTAGAAAGCTCTCTTGTTTATCTTTTTCTGACCCGAACCCGGCAGAGTTGTTATCTGGGCATTATTTTCCTTCTAACCTCTTCTGTATAAACATTTTAGAACTGCGTTTTTTGCTGTATTTCTTTTTTTATTATTGAGTTTTTTTTATTGAGTTTTTTTAGAATAACTTTGTTGTATTATATTTAATCCAGACAGTATTTTTCCTGTTGATTTTTGATGAGATGTAAGGTTTAATTGTGAAGTTTTTTTGTGTTTTGAAAACCAAACATTCCATAATGTATATATAGTGACATAGTATATGCTGTCTTTAAAAGATTGGATATGTAAATGTATTTTAAACTGTTGCAAAGATTGTTACTTCATCATTTCAATCATTGTTACCCGTTCTTTAAACATTTTATTTAAATGAACACAAGTCAGTTGTTAAGTTTTATAGCCAAAGATATACAACAAGAGTTATGTCATTATCTTTATCAAACTTAGCTGAGTGACATTTTCTTTAACTTAGAAACTTCAAACATTCTAACTGATCAGATTTTACTATTCACTGCTGAATTTGAGTTTTTATATTGAAAACAAATGGTTATTTCTGAAGTTAAAACTGGGCAAGTTCTATAAACAAATTAAGTAATGTGAATTAAGATTATGTCATTGTTGCTATGGACATCAAAGTGTTATCATAAAAGTCTTCCATTATCAAATTGGTGTGATAGCCATTGGTCTGTTTTTATATTGCATGTATGATGTATAAAATACTGTCTACAGTATTTTTTATCGGTGTACAGTAAATGTGTGGACAAAAAACGTTAGTAATAGAAAATAACCTATTTAGAAGTTGGTTTGTTTCCTAGGTGTGTGGCCATGTGGTTAAGGTCATTGACTTCAAACCACTTGCCCATCACAGCTGTGAGTTGGATTCCTACAAGTGACTATGGATTGTTTCATGCAAGGAAGCTTTCCAGGTAGCTAACGGAACTTCTGTGCATGGTTCTATTCTGCTGCCCGCTCATGTCTGATATAAATGCATAGAGGAGCACCTGAGGTTTTATATAAGTAAAGCTAGAAAGTTGCTATAAGACCTTCACAGTGTTGGTTTGACAGAAAACCAAGCCCCAAAAAAGTTTCCTTGGTAATTTTAATAGCATTTTTGCATAATATGACATTAAAAACATTGGGTTTTTTTTCCAAAAAGGATTTAAAGAATATACAAAATATTTTCATTCTCAAAATAGTATAAGTCTTGAAGATCCATTAGTTCAGCTCAGTCTAAATCATTATTGCATTTTTAAAAAAGAAATTCTAAGAGACACACATACTAAAATAGTAAATATTTTGTAATTGTTTATAGTTGAACCTCGCTAATCATAATAATGATATTTTAGATTTTTTTGTTGCTTATGACATTCTAACATTTTGATTGACAACGACATTTTGATTGTTTAAACATCACCTGATAACAATATTTTATACTTGACTATCATTTAAACCAAGAACATTGGCCTGAAGTTTACCATTTAAATCTAGGACATTGGCATTAAGTTTTCACCTGAAGATTCAGAATGTTAATGATACTCTGACATTTGTTTGTCAGACTTTTAAAACATGTTGCACTTTCATTAACATAAAAACAAACTAAAATAATAGTGCAACATTTGTTGTTTACAATATAAATTCATAGCTACATTGAGATTTTTTTAACCAATATGTTGTCGTCTCAGTTCAAGGTTATTGTAATTGCATGTATATAAATCAGCAAGTAGGATAATCTTGTATTGAGATGCAAATATTCATCATAATGTAATATTAGGTTAATTGAGCTTTGTGTATTTACCTCAATCTTACTGTTTTGCTCAGGGTAGCTTTTATTGTCCAATTTGCAGTTACTATGGTAACACTAGAGTTTCTTTTTGTGTGTACATTTACATTTAGTGGCTTTTTCCCTTCGCTTTAAAAAAACACAAAACAATACAATACATGCATAATATAGAATACTATTCACCATTGCTGAAAATGAAAATAGCCTGATTTGTATAAGGTAAACTTACGTTGTTTATTTTTTTCATGTGTACAATTATATATGGTACATTTTTGGAGTCTTCCAAATACAGAGCCAAAATCAGAAAATTGAAGTATCACAAGTTACAAATGTAGAAATCAAACAAGGATTAAATGTAGCACTTTATTAATTTCTGTTATCTTGAATCAAGTGTGGTTTTTGTGTCGCCTCTACGGAGTAGTGGCGACATATAGGGATCACTTCTCCGTTGTCTGTCTGTCCGTCTGTCTGTCCGTGCGTCCGTCACAAAACTTGTCCGGACTACTCCTCATAAACTACTAGTGCAATTTCATCCAAACTTTACAGGAATGATCAGTACCAAGTCTAGTTGTGCATATTGTCAGCATTTTCCGGTTCAATGATTTTTGTCAGAGTTATGGCCCTTTTATAATTTTTAATTTTAAAGTTTGTCCGGACTACTTCTCTTATACCACTAATGCAATTTCATTGAAACTTTACAGGATTGATCTGTAGCTCAAGTCCTTGCGCATATTGCACGGGTTTTCCGGTTGAATGATTTTTGGCCGAGTTATGGCCCTTTGATTAAAAGGTTTCTTTTTCTGTGTGTTGCCAGATACACAAAAGCTTGTCCGGACTACTCCTCATAAACTACTGGTGCAATTTCATCCAAACTTTACAGGAATGATCAGTACCAAGTCTAGTTGTGCACTGTCCGTCCGTCTGTCCGTCTGTCACAAAATTTGTCCCAACATGAAATTGGCCATCATGAGGCGACACATGTGATTACTGATCGCTCTTGTTCTTACTTAATTTGAAATAATTTGTAATTGAAAGAGACACAGAAATTTATGCCTGCATTCACACTTCTTTTGTAATATATACTACTCAACATATAAGTTAGAAGAGTCAGTTTTAGATTTATCTTCCATGAAGAAAAAGTGTCCATATATTTGAAAGTTTGTAATTGGTTCATGTAGATATTGACTATAATTTTGTTGATATTTCCAGTGCTCTACTTCAGAGAGCATTAGAGGTATTGAAATCTATATTGTATGATTTCTCTTTAAAGGTACATTAACACAATAATACACTAAAGGTAATATATCATTTTATGATATAAGACTCCTTAGTGCAGTGATAACGGAAAATTTCAGTATATATACTTAAATACTGTATACATGTAGGTGAATTGGAACTTTTACCTGTAATGACAATTGGCAGTTTTCATGAGGATGGGTATTTCACCTGTAATGTTTTAACATTATTGAATTAGTATGTTCATATGATAAACTCCTTTAAATTCCAGCATTTTACTAATTGATAGACTATTCACAGTGTATTCCCTTTGTTTCAGCAGTCATTAATTGTTGAACTGTTCACATGTATTTCACCTGTGATTTCTTTTGGCATTCACTAATTACAAATCATTTCTGTATGTAAATTGCATTGGCTATGTTTTGAATTCCTGCAGTCACTTCCATGTAAACTGTATCTATTACCTGTTGAATTCGGGCATTCACTAAATTAATCATATATAGTTTATACAATACCTATTGAGTAAATAATTAAAGAAGTAACAATGCTCGACTTAGCCACTGGTCACTCACTGTTGTGGTTCAAATCCCACAAGTGAGTTTGTATACTTTATTCTGAGGAAGCTACTAAATGTCCGTGATTCTTCTTGGGGTGCCTACCCGCACCTGAAATAATATTCTGAGAGGCACCTGAGGTCCTCTGCCTTCAGAAAACCTAGAAAGTCCCATATCACCTTACCAGTGAGCACAAAGAAAAAATTGAGGAGGAGGGGGGGTGGGGGGATACTGTGTATAATTCTGGCAATTGTAAATAGTTCAACTAGTTACATTGTGTATACTTCTTACATAAGTTTTGACATACGTACATTTATTCAGCTATGTTTGGACATCTCTGTTTTCTTAAACTATTTGCAGATATTATACTGATTACAGCATTCACTCGTTACTAAAGATAATATGTGTATGATTAATTGAATTAATAGGTATAACGTCTTGAATTTCAACATTTCACTGTGTAATGACAGTTTTTCCAAGAAATTTTGTTAATATTTGAAAATTGCCAATTATCATTACAGGTCCATTGCGTTTATATAGTAAATAATTGTTTTTAATGTTTTTATTATAACATGTAAAGTTATTGATACATTTGTTTTTCTATTCAAACATTCCATTTTAACAGCTAGTAATGCAAGAAACTAATACATTTACATTAATTTTATCTATGCAGAAAATATTTTATAACTTGTTAACATTTGTAAATACATTTTATTTTGAGAGACAAAATTGTATATATTTATATATATAGATATATGACTTACATAGAGTTGATTTGTTTCATAATTGTACATTATATAATAACATAGAGATCATTTGTTTCATTATTATACACTAGTTTGCTTCATGTTTGCATTGAATGAGTGATATTTTAGATGTTTTGTTTGTTTGTTTGGGGTTTTCTTTTCAGTAAATGTGGTCATTTCTCTTATGTTACAGTATTTTGATACACTAGAGAGCTGGATTTGAATCAGTTAAGGATGAGCTACATATCAATTTGTTGTTATCAATATAACATCAATGTCTGAGGGGAGTGGTAGCCTAGTGGTTAAGGTATCTGCCTCTCAACCCAGAGATCATGGGTTCGAGCCCTACTCAGGTCACGACCATGTTTATTCATATGACACCAGTACTGGTTGGTTCCAGGAAGCAGACTCGAAAGTGATTAATATAAGTTGCAAGAACTTGTTTCGCAATCGAGCTTAAATAAATATGTTTCAACCAACAACAATGTCTGGTTTCTGGAACCATCTATTAATCTGTCTATACGATCCAGGTTTCAGAGAACTTTGCATGATATCAATAGGAGGTTTATGTCAGATTTCTTGTGTATGTTACATGATGTCATGGTTTTTATGTCAGATTTTAGTGGACCTTAAATGATACAATAATAGCAGATTCCATGGCAGTCCTTTTTAGGCATGTTACTTGCTTGATGGCATTACTTCATGTAAAATTCCATGGTTTATTTCCTGATATCATGGCCTCACTAATGTCAT